CGAATAAATGCTGTCACATGTATAAAAAATAAAGAAAAATTGAAAGTCAGGTAATCGATCTCCGAGAACGAGAAGTAGAAAAACGAGCATTTCGACAGCGGAAATCAGAATGAACTAACCTAATTGGAGCTAATTCCTCATTTATTTCTTCTTCAGTTATTTCGGGATCCTCAGCCAGTGCATTACGGCATGTGTCTAAGGTGAAAATTATGATAATGAACAGAAGTAGAATACCTTCAGATTCTTCCAGCATTTGCTGAGCTAACTCCTGATCACCCTTACCCAGGTGATAACAGGCCAAGTTGAACTTGCCCTCATACATATCTGGGCTCACGTCAAGATCCTATATTAAGCAACAGAAACATGAACTATGTTGACCAATAACTTACCAGATGTTCGTCGCCGAAGCATGCTGCCGCAGCAGCCACGGCAGCTAAATTTGTGAGACGCTCCTCTCCGAAATCGTCCTAGACAATTTTAACAGTCCAAAAGAGATCTCACCTGTGAGTTGCGTATGACTTTCCGAAGACACTTTTGTGCCTCAGCGAATTCTTCTCTTCGATAGTGCTGGAAATTAATTCGGATAGAGGATAAATCAGACTCATTACCACTTGCGCCTTAAGCTCGAGTATCCGTAGGTCCTCGGGATCTGCTTCGTTCAAGGTTTTCAACGCATCATTGATTCTATTTAGGCGGTATTCTGTGTAAGCCTTTTCAAATAGAACGTATCTGATCAATGAAGGCAAGAGTTAACGAGGTTGCTTACTTCGCTAGTTCTGGAAACTTCTTCAGTGTACTGAGACATTCTTCGTACTTCTCCGTCCGAATGAGAGCGACTGCTTTGCATTGGAGTGCTTTGTACTCGGATGGTTTCTTTGAGAGAACTGATTTTTTTAGAAATAGGATCGGTTGAATGAAGCACCAATAACGCACCAATGTGTCATAACATTCGAAAAGCCACAAAGTACGCGACAAAACTACAGGGCACCACACGCTTCATTGTTACACCTCTATATTCTCTAACAAGCATATCTGGTCAGGACGACCGACACGGCATACCTAATTTAAGGACGAAAATAAAAGAGAAAAATGTGAGGAAATGGGTGGCAAAAGTATAGAACTCTCTGAGATGAACCTCCATAGTTGCTACTTAAAATCGTGTGCAACCACCACCATGTGGTTGTTACAGTATCGGTGAAAAACATTATAACAAAAGCCAAATCAGCAGGCATTGCTGGTTAGGGTGCACATTGCGTACGTCTAACGGCCGTCTACTACACCGAGCCATATTTGCAATCACCGCTCCCAAAAGGAGGTCAAAAGATGACATGAAGACGAGGCATGAAGAAATACACAGGACGTTTACTTGCTGTCTTTCAGATTGCGGTAAAAAATATTCGGTACCTGGTTGGTTGGAAACAATGAAGGACGTGAAAGCGAACTGACAGCATTGTAGACCTCGTTGACATGGCAAACATCTAGTACAGTGAAATTCAAAGTAAACTTCACTGGTCGCCACTAACCTCACAGTATATAGAAAGTACTAGCGCGAGAAGTACTGCCAGCTCGAGACAATGAACTTGCTTTTTTATATTGCACATTTCTTTGCGTGATGAACAACTGATGGGGTCGATCCCATAATCGCATAGACCCGCTGTTTTGTGATGAAAATTTAATCCCCAGGACTTGGAGTGGCGAGCCACATAAGGACCAGCAAGGTAAGGAATGATATTGAACTGGACGACAGCAAAGCTCCCTACCACCACCTCTCACCCTATTCCAGCCCTAACATGTTTCAGCAAACATCAGACGTTGTTGGGGCCTATCTGGTGACATGCATAACATTCTCCAGAAAACCTTATGTTTGGAGGTAAAACACCCCAGTGTACTGCCTCCATTACTCAACGTAGGCATTAGTTATCGGTTACCCCGCCCAACTGGAGAAATGCAGCGCATGCAATCGTGTTCCAATACCCATGGACTACCTCCATCTTGTTCTGTGCCACAGAGCTGAAGCATCAGATCCAAACCGCTTTGTGGAGTCTGACTTGGAGGGCGAAACTTCTTGCTTTAAGACATGACTAAGGAAATAGACTCAGGACCCCTTACAATGCCAGCTGATACCGCACATTCCACTAACAAGCCTGGCAGCCTAACGTTGAATGCGCTCCAACTTCTAGGTTTTGGTCACCGGGAATAAGTAAGCAACAACTTGATGTTTGAGTCACGAGAATAAGGGCAACACCTACAGAACGCTGAGGGTCGTCCAAAAGATTATCTGAATTCCCTAGCATATTCCACTTACGGAGCATACTTTTTGGATGATCTGGGGTTTTCAACGAGGATGCAACAGTTACCGCTCGCTGCCGATTCTCCTGAGGCGAAGTCTTGAAAAGCTGTGAGAGCACGAGAGGCTATCATCCGTCTGTAAAGATTGATGTAACATACGCATATTGCCCTGGCTATGTTCAGCAGGCTTGATCGGTGTTCGAGGTGAATGAGACATCTTGGACGTTTGAGTCCGTTCAAAGAGTATGCTCCAATGAACTGCCACTAATGGGTTGCGGTTTCCGAACACCGCACCGCCACCTTGTGCATTAAGTTTGGTTAGCCGAAGGCTGCGGTTGTGAATCCCCAAAAAATTCGCCCATGTTGTCCCGGACAACCTGGCAGTGTTCTGTAATTAGCAAATCACGAAACATTTTACTATTGTTGGACCATGACTTTCTGGGCAGTCTGCAATCAGACGTGTAGGAAATACACCTTGAAGGCCATAGACGACCGCGGAAGCCCTTCCACTTCGGTTGTCTCTTGCGAGGGAAGGAGCCCGAACCGTGAAGTTTATATATATGTATATGTATATATATATATATATATATATATATATATATACATATGTATATATATATTGGGGAGAGAGAGCTAAAACAAGTTAGCTATTATTAATTTGTGATTGATTGATAATCGTTTCGACTGTGCAACTACTTTTGGAAATAATCAGGACTGCCATATATAGCCATATGGAACTTATAAGTTCGGGTTAGGATGTTTACATATATATACATACGAAAATATACATATATATAGACCAATTAGGCTTTAATCATCAAAAATTTTGTGAAGCCATTTATCGTAGAATTAAACTCACTTTTAGTTGCCAAAGTTATAACTTTATCATATGCTTGGACAGTACATGCTAAGTTCAACTCCGAAAAAGCCGAAGAAATGTCGAACACTTTCGTCGCAGCCATGGAAGCAACGTGTAACTACGGCAACAAGGGATTACAGTCCGACAAAGCACTGAATTTAAGATTATTTTGACATTCACTAAGTTATATTTCGCATAGAGCTATGTACAAATCAACTACGGAATAAGAGAAACTTTCGGATACATCAATGTGTGCATAATTACCAAAAAATATTGGCAATTTTCATATGTTGGAACAAATGCTAGCTCACGTCTTCACAAAGCCCGAAATATCTTCGATGTTAAATGTCAAATGTTGAATGCCAATGTTCAATGGTAAATTTTCTTCAATTAAAAGCATTGGGGGAACCTCCCGGATAAACCTCATCACCGCTTACTAAAGCAATGCGTTTAAATTTTATCTGTATACCACTTTTCACGCAGAACGCAGTCCAGCGGTAGACGACCACAGGCAGGAAGTAGCACTAGGCAAATATTTCGCTAGTGTTCATAGGTTAGATAACAGGACATTAGAACCTCGATCCCCGACCTCTCTTCCACCAAGCGTAAGGGAGACGCAGATATCTACAGTGGAGGTAAAAAAGCTGTTCGGGGATTGAGACATAATTAANTAAGGCCCTGGGTCCCGATGGCATATATCCTGCCATTGTTAAACCACTTGCCAAAAACTTAGTCGGCCTCTTAAGGATGCTGTTTCAAAAATCGCTGGAGGACGGGGTGCTTCCGGACGACTGGAAAACTGCCGTTGTAGTGGCGTTACAAAAAGGTGGTCGTAGATCTCTAGTGACTATGATTGTGCGAAGAAAAGGAGCGATCCAAGAGGACGTCCATATTTTCTTCAAAACCAACTCTGACTCCAACTGTTATACTTCTTTGTTTTACTTCTGATTCTTTTACTGAGTACGCTTTTCCGCTCAGGTGTATNCCCACGGCACGTTTCGGTACTATCTAGTACCACGATTCGCCAATAAACGTCTACGACTCCCACGAGTGTTTTGTCTACCTCGGGCAATCAGACACTAGGAGATAGTGCGCACTTTGAGACTAGTAAGAAGACCTACCGGCAGGCCGTCAACATCGGATAGCTTCAGATCTAACTCACAGCACTACAGACGGGTTAGCTTAGCTTTCCATGCAAGTGCANGCATGGAAAAGCTAATCAGGACTCAGGTCTGTACCCACCTTTTAGAGTATTCATTACTTAGCATGGCCCAGCATGGCTTTATGTAAAACCGGTCGTGCCTGTCCAACCTCTCTACCTAGACGAAGTCACAGAGATGGTAGACGAAGGCAGAACAGTAGAATTATGTTACCTAGATTTCAGGAAGGTGTTCGATTTCGCAGGTTATAGATTGCTTTTACATAAGCTAAGATTTTTCGGAATCACAGGAGCAGTATATAAATGAATGGCAGCATTTTTGACAAATAGGACGTTCTGCCTCATGGTAGGAGAATAAACGTCACCAGTCCATCATGTCACTAGTGGCGTGCTAAAAGGATCGGTGTTAGGCCCGCTTCTATTTCTCTGTTCATAAATCATCTAGCAGAAATTGCCAGCTCACCCTACTACATCTTTGTTGATCATGTAAACGCGGTTGGATCCAGTGGAAGATCAAACTTAGAAGATGATATCGCAAAGGTGGTTAAGTGGTCCTGTAGTGACTGACGCGGTACGTTCAAATTCGGTTGTGTCCTCGCTGCTCTGATTTACCAAAATAGTTTTCCAGTGTGTATTTGTCTCTAGATTGTGCAAAACAATTTATTGGCAACCGTGTACGATATTATTTTTATATCTTTTAAGGTTAAGAGCAAAATATTTTGGTTCAGTGTTTTTGACGATTTTTCTCGAAATTTTTACCTGTATTCCGCTACAAGTGTCACACATTTATAGTTTTATCCGAATTTTATTTTGCCTACGTATTATTCCCTTGCTAAAATGCCCAAGGTTAACTTCCCGTGTTTCGATGCTGCGTGTGGCAAGAAAGTGGTTAGAGGCATAGAATGCAGTGTATGTAAGCGTTGGGCACACCAAAAGTGTTCTGGTATTAAACCTGAAACATACAGTCTTTTCTGTAAGTATGCAGACTTGGAGTGGATGTGTACAACTTGCAAGACTGCAGCGTGGCGGGCTTTCAGTGCTAAGCCGGGAGGAGAGGAGAAAACTCCTCAAACAGTTCTCAAACGGAAGTCCACAGGTCTAAGTGTAGTTAATAATAATAATAATAATAATAATAATAATAATAATAATGATAATAGTTTATTTCTCGGTTTACATCGAGAAGCGTGCAGATTGCGCACGATCGAGTGGG